CAATAGTTGTTGTCTTTTGCCGATGTTAGACCATTGTCCACAAAACCAAAATTTGTCCGAGTTTTGAAATATTTTGGGAAGAGTACAATATTTTAACCTTTCATTTATTGTGTTGGTATCTGTGTCGCTTTAAGAATGAATAGTCATTCAGTTCAGGCCAGTTTACTGGGGCCGCCACAACTATTTGCACCTCCTGCAAAGATAGGTTCTTGAGTGGATAGTTTTGGTAGAGGATTCAACATGGTAGTAATTGCAAGTATTTGGGACATGTTGAAAACAGCAAGACTATTTTGCGGTGTGATTTTATTGACAACCATTAGTAACATTAGCATGCCTATTAAAGTAACTATTGTGCTACTTTAAAGAATAGGGAATAAATACATTTTACCGTTGAGACACTGGTAATAATGAGGAAATGTTTGTACGTCATGAAGTAAATCTCAAAAGATTTCTCAGTCTTAAAAGCTGCAGCCACCTCCGTACTGTGACATATGGATTTTTTTTTATTTCCATATATGACACTTGCTTTTGAGTTATAAACTGAAGACCGTGACATACATTACTTACAAATTGCAAATGTGCACTTTAGGTGACGGGAACTTGACAAGACAGTTATGTGCCACATGTCTTGATCAGGAAAGTAAACAAAAGGCTGTTATTTACAACATCAAAGCATAGCACTGTAAAACAGCAGGATGTTGCATGTGAAGACATTGAGAGAAAAGGGACACATAAGACACTTGTCTATGGTCTGGGACTGAGCTCAGAGCCCAAACATTTGCTTCTAAGACACCACAATCCAATCTGCTGCCACATCTGACATTCACATGAGGCCCAAACTTCATTGATGACCTCAGAAAGCTCTTCATTTTTTTAAAAAGAGGTTTTAAGTACATAGAAGGGTACATGACTTTAATTACAATAAACTTTTATCAAAGAAGAAACAACTGTGTCTTCTTTAGCTCAATTTTCCTATGTTTCTCTTGTTCCAACTCTGTGTTGTTTTTCTACAATTACCATTTTTACAATTAAAGCACAAGCAACAAGAAATTTTATACCTTTTTAATCTTTTTATTATTAAAATGTTTTAAAACACTCCATGCAGAACTGTGTGACATATAGAAAGTCAGACATTTAAATTTTTCAATTGATGAATGTTGATGGACAATTGTTCTCATTGCAAAACGTTCATTATGGCAAAAATGGCACCAAGTATATTCACTTTTAAAAACAGAATATTATTTCCAATTAGAATAGGTGGCACCAAGCTAACCAAAAAACTTGGTTTACCAGGCAAACCAATAAATTTCAGCACTTTTAAAATATTGAGGCAAGGCAAGATGTTGCTTGTCAATTGATTTAAAAAATTGGGCATAAATGGCCTTAAAATATTGCATCAAGCACTACCTGATATATTTATGTTGATGTTGTCCTATTGCATGAAGTGACTGAAGTTGTAGCTGTATGAAATACACACTATGTTTATGAAGTCATCCTGACATAATTTGAGCTTAAGATCATAAACTAAATTTTGGAACATTCCCATTTGGGAGCATCAAGTCATTCAGGTTCTGAAGCAGCAAAAGCAGCTTCAGACCATTTGCAGTATGATGTTCTTTTTCTAAAATTCTGGGTTTGTTTTATGTCAGATATGATGGAACATGTGAAGTATTGACAATCGTCCAGATATCTTATTATTATCATTATTATTTGTTCAGTTTTGTTGTTGTTGTTGTTTTTTCTCTCTGAATGTGAAATATGGATTCTTGGTATTTGTGTTATTTTTGGTTTGCAGGGTTTGTTACTGCAAACCAATGACTCTCCTAATTATTGCTTAATTTTTGTCTTGTTGTTGAATAATGAACACTAACTCTATAGGTCGGTTATTAATAAGCTATTATGGTATTTTTGACAGGCTCTCTAATACTGATAAATGTTTTTTCAATTTGTAGATAGAGGCTCTCAATATAGTTTGTCATAAACCCTTAAAATTGCTTTGTATTCCTTTCCAAAGTGACTGATGTCAGAGATTCTGTTTCTTACCTTGAATTTCTTTTCATCAGGATAAAATGTCTTATTTTACGAGATCTTCTAGCATTCCTTTCTCTGTCGACAGGTTATATTTACCTGACTTTTTTTTACAAAAGCATCTTCTTAAGTCAGTTCATTGGGTCCCCAAGAAACACACCATCACAGGGTTAAATGACTAGAGCCATATAACCTTACGCCTGTGGTCATAAAATCCTTTGAGCGACTGGTGTTGAAAAGTTTGAAGGACATCACAGACCCCCTGCTGTTAGTTTACTGAGCAAAGAGGTTAGCAGACAATGCAGTCATTTTGGGACCGCACTTCATCCTGCAAACAGCATCCTGTTTGTGGACTTCAGCTCAGCCTTTAACATCATCAACCCAGTCGTCATCCACCACAAGCTAACCTTGCTAACAGAACCAAGGTTCACCTATCAGCTTCCAAAGTGACCAGCATAAGCAGATGAGACCAGGAAGCAGCATCTTCAGCACAGAAGCACCATCAGCACCACTGCCCCTACAGGCGTGTTCTCTCCTCAGTCTCTGTACACAAATAGTAGCACTTCATCTCAGTGTGAAACTCCTGAATTTTGAAGATGACATCACTGTTATTGGTCTGACACAGTAATGACTCTCAATAAGGACAAAAGGTGGATCTGCTGGTCCACTGGTGAGGTGCAAACTGCTCAGAGGTTAAACACATTTAACACAGTGGATATGACAGTGGGCTTCCACATCTTCTCTCCTCACCATCTTTAGCTACACTATATCTTCTGTGGACCACTTCCTGTTGCTAGCAGCCACTCTTTCTCAGGGCCTAATTGTCCTCGTTCATAGACACTGTTAAGGAAAATGCCCATCAGAGACTGTCCTTGCAGTATCAACTAAGGCTGGTTCTGGTCATCTTCGACAGCAACTTTATTCAGTCTGTCTTGTGTACGTTCATCACTGTGTGGTTTGGCTAATCCACAAAACAGGGCAGGTCTAACTACATCCAACAGTTAGGTCTGCAGAAAAAAAAAATCATTAGTGCTGACCTTCACTCCATCCAGGACTTGTGCAGGTCTAGGGTCAGGAAAAGGGCAGATGCCATCTCTGCACACATCCTGGATACAAGCTGTTAATGTCAGTGCCATAGAGCAATGTTTGCAAAAACCAGGAGCTCGAGAGACAGATACTTCTGCCAGGCTGTCTCTCAAATAAATACTTAAAAGTACCCAAATTCATACCACACAAATTTGCACTAAGTGTTGCTTTCTCTTTTGTAAAAACACTGTATATTTGCATATCAACTAAAAATGTTTATATGCAAATATAAACATTTATGAGAAGGGATTTTTGTTTCCCTTCTCATATATTTATACTGAACATCTCTTCATTGAAAGTAATTTGGAACTGATTTAAAAATTGCTTATTTTATTTTGTTTGATGATCTGAAATTTTCAAATGTGACCAAAAAGCAAAATCAGAATACATCTGTAAAGGGACAAACACCACTGTAAACAAGGGTAAACAATTTTCAGTTGAAAAACATACAAAACAAGTGGCTGGTCTCTTTCTCAGTTCTCTTTTCTTTATCTGAATGGTTGCAGGTTAGATGTAACAAAATGGGACAGCAGGACTCCGGAAGTGGTCAAAATGCTTAAGCAGTATTAAGCTGCTTTCACACTTTCTAAGTATGAAATTCTTAAAAGCACTTCTAGTGCTAGACAAACAGGACTCAAAAGTGGTACTTGCAAGTCAAGCAATCCCCCCTCTAAAGAAAAGACAATTTCTAAAGCTCACAAACGAATTTTTGCAGCTCTTGTTTTGTGTTTTACAAAAAAAAATTCATGTGATATAAATTAAGGTGTATGTCTTGTTAAATTAGAAACGAAATGAAATAAGGCAATCTGAATTTCTTTGTTTAGCTCATGGGTAATTTGTTTTTCTACATTTTCTTGAAAGATGACATAAGGCTCCACAGGATTAAACATGCTGGCCGTACATCACTGCCTCAACCTAATCAGGATTATTAAACAGCTTGTAAAAGACAGACAAGAGTGTGGGAAGTCACAAAAAATGTGCTTTTCATTTCCATCCCGCTCTGCTAAATTAAATGGTAAAGATCAGAGGGGGTGTTTCATTGAAATATTAACACAGGTGATCAAAACGTCTCTCTGGCATCCTCTGGAATAGCTCTGCTAACACTTCTTCAACCTGCAACAGGGAACCTGCTCTGTGTCTCTGACTGCTTGATGATTTAAACCAGAAGCCGTGAAAAAAAAAAAAAAGCAAAGCCTTCCCTTAATTTGTCCCATATGCCTAAAGAGAAGAAATGAGCTTGGAGGTGTCAAAAAAGCTGCCTTCTAGCTGGCTTAGGGTCTGTTTGAGACAGTAATGGAGATGATTTGCTACAAAATACTTCACATCAAGGGGACACAATGGAGGTCATGAGGTGGAACTCAGGTTTTCTAAGTTTTTCCAGGTGTTTGTGACCATGAAAGGGCAAAAATATGTGTTTCTCACACAGTGAACTCCTCTGAGAGGAGACTACTGAAAGGGGACGATACTTGGTTCAAACTTTCTCATTTGTATGAAATTGCAATGAATGGGCGCAGTGGCCTCCATCCCCCACCCCTTCTCCTTTCAACCCCCTAGACGCTGGCCCTGCCCAGGATAAAATTCACGACGGCTCAGTCAGGGCCGGCACAGGGGAGATGGCTGACTGACTGCACACAGCAGAGCATGAGGCCGGTAGCTTACTGCTTCGCTGCCCTATGCTAGCTCTCACACACACACTCACTGGCTTCTGCTCACCCTGACACACACACACACACTTTCCTCCCTCTCTCACTGTCGCAGACTCACACTGGTTCGTTCCCTCCCATACTTGCTGCCTCTCTATTTCCCTCAGTATCATACACACACACACACACAGAGTCAGTCACCGGCAACTCTCATTCAACTCTCTCTCAGCCACGGGTCAGCAGCTCAGACAGGCAACTTGTTTCTATCCAGCTGGAAAGAGCAGCGCAGCGCAAGGTGCACACACACATGCACACGCATAAAGATATACACTCATCCATTTGGACTAAACTCAAGAATTACACTTGATGTTGTTCTTGTTTATCCTTAAACATCCTTGGACTGTACCTACAGACCACTGAAGAAGACTTCAGTTCAGAGGGGCGCCAGAAGGATCAGAATCAAAGATGGACTTGAGAGAGTGGACTTCATGTCAGGAGCTGAACGCGTGATTTCAAAGCTGAAGATGACAACCCGAGAGACTTGCTTTCAACCCAAAGTGGAGACTGACAATCAGTGACATCCAGAGGATCTGTTGTGATTACCATTCCCCTCCCTTCGCTGTCCAGGACTCCCACCCTCCACACTGACATCTCTTGATCACCAGCATGCCTACAGCTTGCACAAGGTGCACCTTGGGAGCCTAACCCACCATGTGCAGATGGATGACATCCGTAGCTCATCTTTGCCCTAAACTTACCCTGAGAACAGCCACCACTGCCTCCTCCACTGGGAATGTCATCCCCCTGCCCAGTGCATCCTCCTTTGCCCTGGTATTCCTCACCCTGCTCTTGGTCACTGCTGGCAGCGGAGCCTGTCCTCCTCGAGCAGGGCATGAACCCCTTCAGGGGCTGGGGAGTGGCACCAACTGTTCGTGGACTTTGGAAAGGCACACTCGTAGTTACAATCACCTGGAAGGTGACGTCAGACTGCGACGGCTTTATTCTGCCAACAAGTTCTTCCTCTGCATTGACAAAACAGGAAAAGTGGATGGCACCAGGAGAAAAAACTATGCCGACAGTAAGTAGCTTCTGTAATTAGTGTCAGTGCGCCCTGTGACATCACTGCTTTTATGGCTGAACTTTGTGATTGATTTTATAGTTCATGGGAATCTCCAAAGGTTATATTACCAGTGAACTATTTCTGTGTGTTTGGAGCATGGGAGAGGCGTTGCTAAGTGAGAAGGGAATACCCTTGTGTGGAAATGGACTAATGGGAGAGCAGACACTGAGGAAAGACATTGAGCATTAGTTGGTGTGGTGCATTAGTGCTGAAATAAAAAGTCTCAGTGTTTCTGGCAATTAACTTGTCAGAAATGTGGTGAAAGTGCATCAGGTCTTAAGTAAGCGGGTTTAAACCACAGCATAGTGTTTTGAGAGCTATAACCCAGATTAGATTTGTAGATTACAAGTTATCCTCTAGGTAAACATCTTAATTTGAGCATGTAGGTAGGCTTATTCATAAACTTCTTCTCCAAATACATATAGTGCATCTCCCAAGTATCCCTAATGACCACGTGCTTGTAAATACTGCAAGTCATCAAATTGAATGTGCAGTTAAGATGCAACTTAAAAAAGTATGGTAACAGGTAAGTATACGGCTTTGCCAGTTTGCACTCTCTTGCCATTTTGTCTGTTGCTATATTGCATCTATAAACCATGTATAAAGATGCCATTCCATAACCAGGCATGTTGACAGACAGAGCTAAATAATAAAAAAAACAGAAGTTGTAATAGACTTTTTTTCATATTTTCTGTCATTTTGATATAGTCCACACCACGCTATCACACATCAAGCAACTGAATACATGTAACTTTTTCTCCAGTGTGACAAAAATCACTAACTGTGGCCTCAGTAACTACATTTAAATAATAAATTAAATGATTGCACTTAAATTATGAATGATTAACCTGGTTTTACCTAAATGCCCAGTCTCAAAAACTTCCTAGGCAATTAAATGTTTCAAGTTGGATTGCAGAGGTTAGTGTCATGAGTTTTTAAATTGTTGCCTTGAACAGATGATTTCAGGCTGTTTTGTTGTTGCTTTGGAGGCTAAATCCATGCTCTACTGTCAGACTGGAGACCGGAATTACAAGCAACACTTCAGCGCATATTTTGAAATCAGGGAACATATCTCCAATTGAAATGATCAGAAGTCGGCAATAATCTCTGGTCAAGTGGTTTCCTGATCCTGCAAGTACTCTCTTCAGTGAGAGGAAATCTTGACGTATGCATTGCATCTTCACCAGGGGTTCAGCTGCACTGGTCTGTGACATGCAGTGGTCACAACTGTGCTCCAAAACATCCATAACTGTCCAAGATACTGTCAGCCTCTGGTTAGCAAGATCCATTCAGTATGGCATACAGGCCAGAGGGGATGTTCAGATACTTGCCTGAAAATTGTTTTTGTGATTCAAATATGTTTATTGTTTTCAACAAGTTATTACCAACAGAGCAGCATCAGAACCATCATCAGCATGCATTTACATACAACATATTGATCAGTCAGCTAAGAGCAGTCAATGTCGATGGATGTTTACAGCGCTCAGGCCTGGGAGACTTTATTTGATTGACTTGCTTACCTCTGCTATGCACTCGTGTGTAAAGTGGAAAATGTATGCATGACTGCACCAAGTGGTCAGGAGTGCATATTGCAATCTGCCAAACGATGTGATTTCAATGTCACCATTTAAAAAATGGTCAAAGGCAAGAAATACTAACTTGACCCCTGATCTTACGTATATTTTAATATGAATACAAATAGCATCAGAAACAGGCACCCTGTTTCCATTTATTGCAATTCAAATTTTTATATAAACCAGTAGAATCTTACTAAATCTGACAGGTAATTACCCCTGATTAACCTGATCTGTTGAACACATAATTGGGTGATTGGTTTGTAGAAAACTGGTTAAGAACACTGGATGTAAAATGGTAACAAATGCCCTTACTGGTGGTATGACTTGTTCAAAAGATGACAGTCTTTCAGAGACGATTTAAATCTAAAAAATGTGAAAGTGGCCAGGATCTAACAACTCCTCTATTTGGTACAGACTGACTCAAGGACAAGACATCCCTTTTACTCATCTAATGTGTGTGTAAGCCTGGAGCGCAATCTTCAGAATATGGCTCCAGCCTCTTCTCTCCTTTGCTGGTTTGTAACCCCATTTAGCATCTTCGCATTACTGTTTTGCCACTTCCTTTTCCTATTGTGTATCAGTTTATTTAACCTGGTATGTTTGATGAAATATATGGAAAGTTTATTGTATAACTTAATATGAATTTTATATAAGTCTTGCATAAAACGCTGCTTGGAGTATTTGTAGTAGGGAATAACAACGACATGAAATGACCAGCAACCGTCCACAGTGCATCGTGTCGTTTAGCAACTTTTCCAAGAAGCTTGATTACGCATGAAGCTGTTTCTCAGTAGACATCCCATCAATGAATGTCTGTTAAAAGCTGGACAAAGCCAGATGAACTAAAACTGGCCATGATCTGACCTCCCTCTCCATTAGTCATTGGCTGACCGAATGACTGGGTAGTCTTCAGAGAGACAGTTTTTGCCTTTGACGGTAATATTTATGTATTTGGTAGTTATTACCTTTTTATACAAGTAGGTGAGTCAGACTTTTTTCCATTCAGCTACTGGGGGAAGAGCAGCTGCTGGGTCGAGCTGACGGGCCAGAGAGTCTGCTTCCACTGTTTCACCGAGCAGACTGGCAAAGACTTGTCAAGAACAGTCACCTGGCAAAGTCTTTAAAATCCGCTAGTAATTGCATAAACTTAAGCTGAGATTAATTACCCCTGTCTTAATTCTGGACCAGGTTGTGACATTACTCTTTCATCAAAGGTGACTTATGTCAGCTACTGTAGGAAATGATTCCACCTAACCATTAAACAAATTTCAAACTAAACACATTTTGGGAGAACTGTGGGCTAAAAAAACATGAAATAAAATTTTAAAAAATCGTCAGATTTAAGAGAAAATAAGAAAAGCGGTTGAGATTTTGAAACTTGCGGTTTTTCTTCCAAAAGTCATTTACTCCAACAATGTCAAAGTTAACAGGAACTCTGGTCTGTTAACATGTTATTTCTTTATATTCCTCCTCCATTATCCTTTCCTTTACTGGGAAGAACAGATTTTTCTGTGCTCACACAGAGTTAAGGGATGTTGTAGGAGCCTGAGCTGAGCACAATGCCAAACAAATGGTTGTGAAGGCTTTGCTTGAAATGTTCCAAAATGGAACTTGGAGTCAGTCTGTGGTTGTGCGTCTCTATGAGATCTGGTTTAAGACAGATAGGGAGGTTTGCAAACTCAGTAGAGATTGAAGCGTCACTGCTTTGAAGTCTTTAGCTTGCTCTCGCACTCTTGTCGACACCGCTACATTACCGTCTCACCTCCATCCCACTCAGTTTTTCCAACTCAGACTCCCAGTACCCTCTCAGGTGCAAAAACAGTTGGAATTAAAGCTGCAAGCAGCCTCGAACGGCCCTCGCAGCCAAGCGCCGCTCCGGCCTATTGTCCACCGCGGGGTACGAGCAATCGCAGTACCCCGAAGCCACCACAGAAGCTCTCACGCAGTTTTCAGCACCTCCGGCCGCACTGCGGAAGCTGTGGCTGAGTTTCCATCAATGCTTCCCACGTTCCAACACAGAAGTTGTTCCGCAGTTTCCACGCCCGTCCACCAGGCGGTACGCATCTATGCGTTCGGCGGCTATCCTTGACGATGCAAAAAAATGTGGTATAGATTCATTGCTTTAGCGAGGAAATATAGCTGGCGGATTAATGTAGGACGCGCAGTGGAGTCAAAATATATTTCAATGCTGTTGTTCTCTTTAGAGGTCAACAAAGGTCATACGTATCCAATTTGGCGTCAGTCGGATGATCCACGTGACATTTACAGCCGATCATATGCACATAGCGAAGTACTACAGTTCGTCATTTTTCATCATTTTCAGCTGTGTTTCTAAAGCACTCTATTTCATTGTTGGAGTAATACTTACTCAGAGTGGCGAATTACTGAAATGGTTTGGAAGAAGTAAGAAAACGCTACATTTACTGCATGATTTAATTCAACAAAAATTATCTGAGACATTTTTATCCTTTTAGAAATGTCATGGCAACACACTCACAAAGTTTTTCACGCCCATCCGCCCGTGGATCTGTTTATCATCGTGGAGGAACACTGACACCTACTGGCGAAATACTGATATTGTTCTTCATCCTGATTATCTGCTGTTTTCATTTGTGGAGCAATACTGACCCCAAGTGGCGAATTACTGAAATGGTTAATAAACGGCAAAAATGGGATCAAAATCTGAACTTCAATCTAAAATGGCCGACTTCCTGTGGGGTTTAGACCATGGCTCCAAGAGACTTTTTTGTAAGTCCTGACATGGTACACATGTGTACAAAGTTTCGTAATTGTAGGTTAAAGCATGGCTTGTGGCTGATCATTTTAAATTTTCTAGGGGGCGCTATAGAGAAATTGGGCCACACCCTACAAATATTGTGATGGATTCCTGTCGGGGAGTGGATGAAGATCCATCCTTGTGAGTTTGGAGCAGCTGCGCCCAAAAATGTGGAATTGAGAGCCAAACGTATGGCGATGGCGTTACAGGTCACTTCGCCACGCCGCCACGCCCACCTGCTCCATCGTAGCTGGTCGGGATTAGAATCCTCAACACCACAACATGGCTTCTGTGTCTGGGCACAGTTTCATGTTGATGAGGTCAAAGGGGTCAGATAGTGACCTTTCACAGTAAAACATTACACTTCCTGTTCTCAGGGGGCGTGGCCTAAGTGATGTCATCATTCGACCATACGGTATTGTAGGACACCCGATGATGATCAATCACAGTAACTTTGGTGCCTCTGTGAGTTTCTGTGTAGGAAATATAGCAGTTTATGTTTTTATGGCGAGTAGGTGAACTTTGACCCTGCTAACCCTCCTTCAGCATTGTCAAAAACTCACCGTTTTGATAACTTTAGATGGGACATGCCTTATGAACAGACT